CAATGTACGTCGAGACATGTGGAGGGGTAGCGGAAATCGGTTTTGATTTAGGCGTGGATGAAGTCTGATCGGAGACGGCGGTTGTTCCTTCCTTCTTCATCTCTGGAACTGGCACTGTGTTCGGCCAGAACAGAATATGTCGAGGAGCTCCGGCGCTATCTTGGTAGTCCGTGATATGTTCACCCTCCTCCAGCACTAGGGGCGGACGGCTCAGGATACTCATGCTGAAAACAACACCATCGGTTAACAGTTTGGTTGATACCCGTGGCTTACTAGATGTGGCGGAAAAACCCATGTCTTTAACAGTAGGACAACTGGGCCAGGGCAGTAGCCCTAAAAGAAAACGCGGTGCCTGGAACCCTAAGGATCCTCCACGGGGTTGGAAAAAAAATGATCGTACAGACCCAAGGCTTGGTTGGGTATTAATCACGGGGTAGAGCGGGAAGATATATTCGGACCCACCCGGACTCATGTCGAATTGCTAGACGGTAACATTTGTGTGGGTTATGCGAGGGTGGTCGGAGCATTTGGGCTCGTCGGAGCAACGTAGGGGAGATGGGTTGATGGGCGGCGGTAGCCGCCACCAATTCGCGCCGTAGTGAGTCAGCAAGGAAACTGTGGGGACGACGAGGGACTTCAAATAGGGATAAATCAGTCGAGGGTTCATAACCCTGGAGGACGACTCCGGCGTCGGACCATAGATGGTCGATAACGGAATCCGCCAAGGGGCATTGTTCGGGCAGTAGTATAGTTGAAATGGGAATGGATACGGGCACAGATGAACTGGGGAATTGGGTTGGGGAAAACCTTGGCTCGCCTGATGGCAGGACTATGTCCTGCAAAATAATAATTTTGGGCGGTTCGGAATGGGCGGTATATGATGGGGTCTGGTCCCAGGTAAGTGTAGGCAAGTCGAGCGGAAGAGACGATGAAGAGGGGTGAGAGTGGTATGGGTCCCTTGGGTCGGGCCCTAGGCGACTCAACGAGACTAGCTGGCAGCGGTCAATCATTCGCCTCCTCGTGGATACTTGGACGGGTATTATTCTGTCGTCTACCTCGGTTTGACGGGAATTCATAGCTGTAACAGAAACAACTAAGCTGACTCAACGGCCGGTTTCAGGTCCTTTATGTGTAACTGATTGAGATTTTTTCCTGACGTATCTTTAGGGTTGTAGACGACGGGAGACACGACTTTGACAACGGTGCACGGACCGGAGTATTTCGGAGCTAGTTTCGCAGCCACATGATCTACGGCTGATGACAACGTATGTTCTCGCTTCATCACTAGGTCACCAATAGTGCATCTCCAGTCTCGTCGACGCAGATTGTAGTAATGAGCCTGCGAGGTAAAAGCTCGGGACAGGTTGAGACGGGCTAGGTCAAAACACTCTGAGTTTTCCTCTCTTGACAAAATTTTCGGGACTTTCCGCATCAAGTGGCTCGGTTTCGGCGGATTGGTTACTGGTCTCAACTTCTTGTCGTAGGGATTTGGGGACGACTAACTCCCTTCCAAAGTTTAAGAATGCAGGAGAAAAACCAATTGATTCGTGACGGGATGTGTTGATTGCAAATTTTAAATCGGATAAATGGAGATCCCAATCTTGATGATTGTCCTCGCAAAACTATGCTATCATAGTTTTTATGGTTCGGTTTGCTCGCTCTACGGGTTTAGCTTGCGGTGTGTAAGCCGGTGTACATCGATGGCGGATTCCCAATTCTTTTAGGACGGATTCAAAAAGCTTACTGGTGTACTGTGTGCCATTATCGGTTATTACCTCTTTCGGGCATCCAAAAGTTGTGACGATGTCGTCATAAAAAAACTTTGCTCACGCTCTTTGCTGTAGCAGTGCGGATGGCTTTGCATTGTACCCACTTGGTAAATATATCCATAAACATTACGATGTATGCATTACCACGTTTACTACGGGGTAGCGGTCCAACAAGGTCTGTGCTAACAACCTCCCAAGGTTGACGGTTCGGTGAGGGATTCATATTCCCCGGCGTCTGCTGTTGGGACGGTTTATATTTCTGGCATTGCAAACAACTTCGAACATACTTAGTAGTGTCTCGGAACATTCCAGGCTAATATTCTCTAGCTATGCGGATAATAGTTTTGGCGATTCCGGCATGGCCTGCGGTCGGCGCATCATGGCTCTCTTTCAAAACTCGGTCTCTTTGCGGCTTTGGTTCACACAATTTCCATGGATCTGATAGTTCTGGTTCTTTGCAATCATTGATGTCCCAAAAATGACGGTATAGTCGGTTTTCTTTAATGCAAAAATCTGGATATTCAATTATGTTTCTTTCAACCTCGGCTTTCTTAGTGGAATACCATTTGCATTTGGTTTCTTCATCCACGGCACACACATCTAGTGTGTCTGACATCGTCTGAATTTCTGGCAACGGATTTCTGGACAAGGTATCAGCTATTCGGTTTAGCGCCCCTTTTCGGTATTTGATTTCAAAATCGTACTGTTGCAAGAAGATGCTCCATCTTGCAAGACGGCCGGACGGACTCACAATTGAATGCAACCATTTCAATGATTGGTTGTCGGTGAGTACGGTAAAGTGGTATCCTTCTAGTTAAGCTCGCATCTTTTCAATATCCCAGACTAAAATGAAATTTCCAGTAGTAGGAAAAATTAACTATACGACTATAACTACGATCGAATGAAAATTAAATTGTTTAACGGTTAAGACTTTAAATAAACTAAAATGAAATTTATTATTTATTCGCGGAAATTTCCAGTAGCAGGAAAAATTAACTATACGACTATATCTACGATCGAATGAAAAATAAATTGTTTAACGGTTAAGACTTTAAATAAACTAAAATGACATTTATAAAGAACGGTGTATTCTAACAAGAATAAATTAAAGTATTTCTCAATCAAAACAAATTCCAATTCCTAACTCAACACGGAATATTGTTATTTAAAAATAAATCAAATTAAATTGGTTTCAAATAGCACAGCTTAAAGTCTCGGGCAAGTAAAAATTATAAAAAAATGACAACAAACTTTACCTATCGATAAAATCGCAGCTTGAAATAAATTTCGGAAATGTATCTATCGTATTAATTACTCGACTATTCGATTTGACGGTGTAAAAGCAAGTGAAATTTTTAATTCAATCTCGAACCTGGTTTAGTCGTCTCATGCCCTTTCACATCAGAAAATCCCACCATGGTCGCGCGCGCAGGTAGAGTATCTCGATGCTTTCGAACAGTGGTAATACGGATGATATACAGGGCCTATCCATGAATAATAATGAAAATTGACTTCATTACAAATTAATCTAAATTTTATTAATCTACTGCTTGGATTTGTCATTCCAAATAAATATACTAGTGGTCGATGATCTGTCAAAATCAAAAATTTCCTAGCAAACAAATATGGTCTAAAATGTTTTACTGAGAAAACTATTGCTAACATTTCTTTTTCTATTACGCTATAATTTTTCTCTGCTTTATTGAGAGAACGACTAGCAAACGCAACCGGTTTATCATCGGAGTTGGACAATACAGCTCCTAACGCATAATTCGAGGCGTCGGTTCTTACTATGAATTGATTTTCTGGAGAAAAATCTGGGTATTGAAGGACTGGTGAATTAGTTAATAATTGTTTTAAATTCAAATGATTTTTGGCACTCTGCACTTTTTTTCTTGTAAGATTATATAGTGGTGCAGCAATATCTGCGAAATTGTTTACATATTTTCTATAGTAATTAGCGAAAGCAACAAATCTTTTAACTTCCTGAGAATCTTTTGGAACTGGAAAATTTTGAATAGCTTCTATTTTAGAAGGATCAGGTGAAACACCTTCTGCAGAAATTATGTGACCTAAATAAAAAATATCTTTCTTTAAAAAATCACATTTATTTGGATTTAACTTTAAATTTACTTGCCTTAATCTTTGGAAAACTTTGACTAAATTTTTATTATGATTTATTAGATTATTTGCAAAAACAATTAAATCGTCAAGATAAACAAAACAACATTTATAGTTAAGCCCTGACATTGCAAGTGTCATTGCCCGAGAAAATGCACTATGGCTTGTTTTCAAACCCATAGGAAGTCGAGTCATTTGAAACTGACCTCGATCTGTACAAAAAGCTGTGTATTTTCTACTTGATTTCTGGAGTTCAATTTGATAATAGCCTTGAGATAAATCAAGATGAGAAAAATACATTGCACCTGATAATGCATCTAAAATTTCTGTAATACTAGGTAATGGAAATTTATCATTTTCTATTTGCGAATTTAACTGTCTATAATCTATAACCATTCTTACTAGGCTTTCGCCTCTTTCATTTAAACCATTTTTTGGAACAATTAATAAAGGAGATTGCCACTCTGATTTAGTTTCTTCAATAATACCATTTTCAAAAATTTTGTGAATTTGTGTTTTTTGAGCATGAGGTAAACGATAAGGTTTTCTAAAAACTGGCTTTGCTGAATCTTTTAGTTGAATTTTTTCTTTACAAATATTAGAAACAGTTAACGGATCATTTTCTAGATGAAACACATCGGAATATTTTACAATTTTTTCCAATGAGTTTTTCTCTTCCGTATTTAAATGTTCTAATTTTGTTAAATTTAATAACTTATCTGCTCTGGTAACTGAAAAGGTAGGCTTTGTTTTAAATTCGCACAAATCATAGTTATCTAGTTTTTCTAATTTTGGTGTAAAACTTCTTAGCGTAACTTCCTGGTCTCTCGCGTTTAAAATTTTTACAGGAATTAAATTTTGTTTTGCCCTAACAAGAGTTCCAGCTATAAAAACACCTTTACATAATTCGTGAGGTAGAACAACACAATCTTCGTTTATATTTACTTTACAATATTTAATTACTTCACATCTAGCGGGAATTGACATATAATTAATTTGATGTGTTGTTTGAATAGGAATCACATGTCGGTTATTATGATATGAAAACGAGAATAAAAATTTTTCATAGTCTATTTTTGCAAAATAATCGTAAAAGTAATTTGAGCCTAAGGAGCATTGGTAGATGCAAGTAGTTATAAGTTTCGTAAATTATTTTTGTTTTTGTACTTATACTCGTATATATTTTTTATTTCTTTCCTCTTTTATATTAACTTTATTGGGAGCATTGGTAAATGCATTTAGTTGTAGTTTCATTTTTCTTAGGAGAACATGTAATGAGGTTATAAAACCTGTTTGTTTTCTGTTAAATAAATAAAATAAATAAAGATACCGTGCATTTGAAGGTCTAAAAGTTGAAATTCAAGACAAATATTTACTTTATCTATTTGTAATGTAATATCCACTGTGCCAGATGATACTACTGACCCAGATATACCATTTATGCGTAATTTCTTTGTACCATCAACTATTTCATTATTAAATATCCTATTTTTAAAAATAACACTTACGCTAGCCCCTGTTTCTAATAGAAATATTAATTTATGATTTTTAAAGAAAAATTCTACAAAATTTAAGCCATTTAAGGAAAATATGTTATAGTAATTATATACCATATTTTTAGGCACGAAAAAACGTGTCACTCTTTGAAGGGATTTCTGAGCTATTTGATTCATCCGAGTTATTTACATGAAATATTCTCCTATCTTTGCCTCTAAAATTATTTCCTCTCATATGACTGTTAAATCTACCCCGGTATATATGTCCTCTATTGTTAAAACTAACATTATTTCTAGAATAATTTTTATTAGTTATTTTGATTATTAAACCCTCTAGAAATTTTGTTATTGCCTCTATAATTAGATTTAAAATGTTGACGACCTCATATGATATGCATTGTCATTATTAAAATTGTTTAAATTGATTTCTTTATCTTTAGCCCTTTGGATTGCTTCATTCAGTTTTGCATAATTTAGAGCTTTAATACTAGTTTGCAAATTCCTATGTCGCAATCCATTTGCAAAAGTGTTGAGAGCAATTTTTCATTTACTTCACTTAAAATCTGAAGATTATTTTCATTATCGTTGGCTTGGGTAAGCGTTAAGTCGGTTAACAATTCTTCTAACGTTTTCCCAAACTGTTCGATAGTTTTTGAACCTTGCTTAGCATTATGTAGTTGTGTAGCTAATGATGTTGAAGATTTTTTAGAAATGAAAAACTTTTTAAGATCACTAACTAGATTTTGATTATTATAAATTTTATTTAGTCTAATTTTTGCATTTTGACTTAGACTTTTCTTTAGAATATAAGTTGTTAATAATTTCTTTCCTTCAGCATCAAGCATAGCGTCATACAACTCAATAGCATCAATTAATTGATTAGTAACAGTTTCGGTACCATTCATAACTGGTAGCAGACTAGCCGCGGTTTTTAAATCAAACTTTTCAGCCATTTTAACTTTATTTGAGCAATCTGAAAGAGAAGAGTCTGATTCTAAATTGTTTTCCCGTTCAGTTTTCTTTATGTTGTGCGAAAACTGTAACCTTTCAACTAAATTAACTGTAATTGCCTCAATAAGTTTATCGACAACATTTGCAAGTTGTTTAATGTAAGCCTTTGAGCGAAAATCTACGTCTGATTTATTAAATAATATTTTTACCTCTTTAAAACTATCTTTAAACTTATCTAATTTCTTAAACTTATCTAATTTCTTAAACTTACGGTTAGTTACATTTATGTCACTTCTTCTTTCGTTACTGTCTTTTAATAGATTTCTATGAAACACCTTTAGTTCTTCTATTAGATTTTCAAATTCCCTTTGCAAACTCATTCCATTATAATGATTATTTTATTTAGTCATACCTAAAAAGCTGAAAAAAAAATATTCTGATAATTCCTTCTCTAAACTAATTCTTGGCTAGCTCTAATTTGTTTAGCCACATGTCTCTCTAACATTTTCTTGCATTTCTTGAAAACTAGCATCAACAAAAATATGAATGCCAATACCACGAACAATGCTTCTATATTTTTGGGTGTGAAAAATTCTGTTGTATTTGTTTGACCTCCACTGTTTCCACTTTGAGCGATTATTACTTCTTTTTTTACCTCTTTAGAATTTGTATTACCAACCATCTTCTTAAGAATCCTTTATTAAATTTTCTTTAATATTTTCTTAATTTATTTCCATAATTATTCTTCTTGCCATATATATTTATATTTCTTCATAATATTCTGGACTGGCAGGATTGCCATATGATGGTACTAGTCCTTTGGATATTTTACTTCACCATGTATTATTATTAGCAAATAAAAATCAACTAGATTATAAGAAAGTTATTTATTGAATCCTTTATTCTTCGATTACTTATTTCAACGAACCTACGCAATTGTTACGTCGTCGAAATAAGTGTCGAATCAACACATTACAAAATATAATATTAAATAATAAAATACATTCCTTAACCTAATTATATCCAAGTTCAAAGAACTATAACCAAAAAATTATATATAGTATAATAATATATATAAGTACTTATATTATTACAGTATAGTACACGTATTATACATATTGAGAGATATTATCAACTTTTATAATTTACCAGTTTTAGTATTGATAATGGATAAAGTATATTGCTAGGAGTTGATACACTAACATTATTATTTATTGGAAGACTTCTTGTACTAGAGCATGTGACTCTTGCATTGATTTCTGGCCGATTGAAAAGAACTTCATCTATAATATCATAAATTGCCAGTTCTTTCGGTCACTTCCTGATTCCTCATTATGTTTCTTTATTTGTTTATACATATTTCTGAGCCCCTTCCACTTCGTATCGCATTGCTGCCTAGTATATGAGTAATTAAAGGTAGTTGACAGGATTTAGGCAATTTTGTCCAGACATAAATATTTTTCACTCCATCTTCGAATTCGTGCTCATGGCTTTTGCATTGAGTTATCGGCATTTTCGTAGCAGCAACTGACCAAATCTAAATTATATGTATAACGTCGGTAAGAAAAAAATCCTTGTTCATCTGAAGTTTACTTTCATTACCATTAAAAAAAAAAAATAGTAAGTAGTAGTAAATTTATTAAAAAAAAAATATCAACAAATACCTAGATTTTCCAAAATGTCTTGTGCTCCATAAGCATTTTCAACCAACGATTCATTTTGAAAATATAGAGTTAGGGCATTCCACTGTTCCAATATTTGTCTGACAACCGCCTTCAAAGAAAGCCACCTTGTCTGCGCCGGTATTCATATTTTCTGCGGCGGTTTAGCTTCAACAATTTGATGAAATTAAGTCGTAGGGCCTTTTCTCCCGAAATCTTTTACTCCTGATTTGTCGGCTCAACCGTGACTGTATCCTCTGGGCGCTTTTCGTGTAGCTTTTGTACAATGAGATTGCATATCTTATTGTGCCTCTTGATACGTGCCGGCTTTGTAGCTTTGCAATGACCTAGTATATGGCCGAGTGTCTCAAGCTGTGCATGACAATGCCGACATTTAAGATCTTATTGATAAGAGGCCCGGTACATGCTTACCCTATCTTCGCATGTGTTCGCTCTCATCTTTAGTGCTGTAATCATCTGACCCAGCCGCAGCAGCGATTGGGGAGTCGACAAACGCCCCGACCGATTTTCCTTGGGATCCGAGCCCCTTCCATCTCGCAAGCTCTGCCTTTCTTCTTTGTTTCACAAAGGAATTTAGCTCGTGCTCAGCTGGCAGCCAGTGTAGTCGGGCCGCTGGAGTCACTCTGGCAAGACAGTTGTCCGGACCTGTCTCTATGACAAGAGCTTGCATTGCAGGGTGAGGATGGTTTGCAAATCTCACACCTGCTTTCAGGGCAGCACTTGTAACTTGCAATTCAAGGCATGGCACTGCTAGTCCCCCGTCTCTGTTACCACAGTATAAAAGCCCATTTGTCACGGACTTCGGTAAGTGTAAGATGCTCCTTATCACTACTCGTAGCTCTTGGTCGAGTCGCCGTACAGTGTTCAAACTGGGCGAAGGTATACTGAGCTGGTACAAGTAATGCGGGACTAAGTAAGTGGTGATTGAGTCTACCTTTTGATGTGGCTTCAATTTTAGGCGCGCAACTCTATTCAAGCTTTAACTGAATTCTGAAAGAATATGATCAACCGTCAAGCCGGCCCAAGGAGATATTTTCATCCCAAGGTAGACAAGGTGGTCACCGGCTCCTGCAACGGGCACCGCCTCACCACTATCGAGTGTCAACCCGTGGTCAGAAAGGTACCAAGAATCTTTTGTCTTGTTTACATGGAACGCTTTGCACTTCGGTGTTAAAAGATTCATACCTAGTCCTGATAGGTATCGTTTCACATCTACTAACTAACGTTTTGCCTGCGGTACATCTTGCGCGACGTGCGCCATATCGTCTGCAAAGGCGATACAAGCGACGCTGCAATCGTTGTTAATGCGAAACTCAGGCTGACTTTCCAACGCTTCAAATAGCGGTTCAAGAATTAAGTTGAAAAGAAGCGGACTGAGGCTACACCACCTAAACTAGAAGGCCACACAACTATCCTATGACGTCATCATAAAGAGGCGAGTGCTGTGAAAGATATTCGCGTTCGATTTTGAATAGAATCAATAATTTTAAATGTATTTATATCACTAAATGATTTATTGTTTTATTATATTACACTTACCTTTGTACTTAATGGAAAAAATAAATAGAGGATAATTAAGTAAATAAAACTATTTGAAATTTTTATATTTATATATATTTACAACCACAACCTTGCTACATTTATAACTGTTAAGTATTATTTTATTAGTATATATCGTTTAAAATTTACGTACTACATACTTATTTATATTTTTCTAATTGCTCACAGAAAATATTTTTGCTTTTCTATTGTTTTTATTTGATGTTTTTGGAATATTATTTTTAATTTTACAATAATTGTTTATTAAAATGTTTATACAACTATAAATTAATTTTTTCCATAAATATGTAGACTCATGTTTCTCGCAAGTATTGTATACGTTGCACTCATCTACGTTTTCCAAAATGGCCATTGTTATTAGAGTTATACTTTGTCTCTGACTATACTTTTGAAGATTTAAAAATATTTGCTTATTATTTTCTGCTAAATACAATATATTGTGATGATATTTATTTAACTTCACAATTTATAATATACAATAACCTGAACTTACCTCGGTAAGCTTTCTTTTTAATATATTTTATCACTTTTTTTTTTAATAGAACAGATTCTCTTACTCTCAGTGGTGTCGGTTCATGAATTATATATTTTTTAATTTATTAAAATTTAGTTTATTTAATCTATTTAGTTTATTTATTTTAATTTTATTTTAATTTTATTTGTCAATAATCACAAAAGAAAAAAAATAAAAAAAATATGACTTGACCTGTTTTATCCAAATAAAGAAATTTTCAAAACCAATTCACAAAATTTAATTTCAAACACATTAATAATTCTCAAATTAACAAGATACCCCGGTATTTATGTTCCTCGGTATTATAACATCCTATATTACTTAAACTACACTAACTTCATTCATTCTTCATTTACTCTTCATTCACACTAACTATCCTATATACTAATATTTACGACTACAAAAAATATAACTACTACCAGTGTCCTCTCTCATACAATTTATTTTCTGATTTAAATTGAACTTAGTTCCTAAACGCTCTCACTATTACTATTAGATTGTCTATTTCCACCAGTATTTTCAGTGTCTTCGCTTTGTTCCTCCTTTTGAATATGTCAATAC